GGGAAGGCGGGCTGTCAGAAAGGGGCGGCTGTGTTTCTCTCCTCCTCTGTCCGAGGGGGTGTTAAAGTACTCCTTTGGTATAAGGCTTGACTCTTCTCTCCCTTTGTATAATGTTATGGATGGTGCTGACAGGCTTTCCCGCGTTTTAAGTGTTCTGTTTAAATTGCTTTGTATTTAATCTACTCAGACATTTTGCAGGTTAGGTTGAGGAGATGCAATGGGTCAGTCTACACAATCCCGACCTTCCACTGAGTAACAGTATCTCTTCATCTCAGCCCAATTGGTTTACTTGCACTCATGAATGAACTAATTTTGTATGAAGGTATTAGTGAAATTGTGAAGCTGTAGTAGTAAAATGTGTCTTTTTTTAAAAGGTAATGTTAATGTGTAATCATAATTTAAAAATAGGAAATGAAAATGTTTTCCAGTATTACATGTTTGTGGCTCCCCTGCCAGTTTGGTTTAAAGTCTTTTTTTTCTGTTTTGGTTTTAACCTTATTTGCTGCTGTGTGGAGCACTCCCATGAAAGGGAGAATTGCAAGCTTCTGTAATCAAAGGAGTGGCAAACTTCCAAAGTAAAGATTAGAAAACGGTACGTTTATGCTAGCTAGTAGATCTTTTTTGGCACGCATAAGAGGGAGAAAAAAGCAACTGATGTTCCCTTAAGAAAAAAACACAAAACTAGAAAACGTTACCAGTAATTGGAAGAATGTTATTTGCAATAAAGCAAACCTTAACTTTTATGATTTGTAAGGATTAAGCCATTTTTGAAAGTTGTCCAGAGATTGGGGACCTCCCCTGCATAGCAAAGTAGATATTGTAATCCATAAAAGCCTGTAATTTTAATTAAAAACTTGACAGAGCGTATGTTCTTATTTGTATATTTAGCCACTATTAAATAAAGTTTGTGTGCTGAATTTATTTTATTCGTAACTGTATGTTGGAATGCCTGTGGAAAAATAAAGTGACAAACTGTGTTTATTTCTGTATCAGAGAACAGTCTGCTTACTTTACAGCTCTGATTGTTGACCACAGATTGGTAGTATTTTGTTTAAAATTTCTTTTAACCAAAATATACCACTGTTCAGTGTTTTATGTTACAGAGATGTTAGATGGTCGCTGAATAGTTGTTGCTGGGTATTTGTTATTTTAGACAACTGAAGATTTTTACTGTGGTATACATCTTTGGACAAAGTCAACCTATGGACAATTCATTTTTATTTTTAAACAGTGAATTTATTGCAGAAGATGGTAATGAGAAGTTTTGGCAGTTCTTGGAAACTGTACGAGAACTAACAGTTTATAAGCAAGGAGGTAAGTTAAACAGCATGCTAGTTTTAATATATTATCTTGCACTGTATTTAACTTTTAAACATCAAGCTAACACGTTAACTGGTTACAGTCAGGTAAAGCCTAACTCTTCCACTGTTGCTTACTAGGTCATTTTCTTTCAGAAACTTGTAGCGTATTTTTCCCTGAGCTCAACCTGTAGAGAAGTTCTAAAAGCAAGAAAGACGAGATAGACTGAACTGCTGTTACAATATGGATCAGAGGTTACAGATACCTACCTTCTTCTGTGACTCAGCAGGAGCTTATAGTATATTCAGACTTCATGTTTTGTGTAAGATGGATGTAGGGGAGAGAATCCCACAAATAACTAAAATGAGAATGTTAGCTAGTGGAAAAAATGAAAAAAAATGACCAAAAAAGGTTTAATACTTGTAGATGGCATAGAGACTCTTTTCTAGAAGCAATACTGATGTTTTAGAATATATGTTTATCACTGTCAAAATAGGATTAATTAAACCTTGCATGATTAGACAGAAGAATATTAAGTTGTTAGAAGTTTGGAGAGAACAGAGCATAAAATCCAGCAAAGCCTAAAAGTAAGCCGCTCCAGATGATAGCTTGGAGAGGAGTTTGCTAGAAATGACCGTGGTAATGAAAAATTTGGAAACCTACCAGGCTTTACAACAGGTTGGTCGATATTAGACCTACTTGGTAGGTCAGGAGATGAACAAGGTGCAAAAAGCTTCAAAACAAGCTAAAGCTGTTTCATTTTGCTCTTTATTGAGAATAGTACAGCTCTTGAGGCGTGAGTGTGAGAACCTAACACTACCACTAGAAGATACTGCAGGTAAATTGAATGTTCTATTTAATAGTCAAAAGCTAACAAATTGTAGAAAGATCATGCAGGAAATGGCAGTGAGATGACAGAAATTAATCCTTGTTATGTGAAAAATGCTGTATATGGGAGGGAGAACTTAAAAAACAACACACTTCAACAACTGTGACTAGCTGAAAGTAAGTTAAAAAGAGATCATGGTGTCCATGTGGGTAGGTTGGTGAGAATGTTATTTGAGTGCTCAGCAATGCCCAAAGCAGCTGATAGACTTAAAAAAATCACTGGGAAAGGAACAGGGACCCCCATGGTAAATGGCATTTAGCTGCTTATGATTCCATGATGCACTTTTGTGTTGAGTAAAGCATGGTGTTCTGCTTTACTGTTTCCCTGTATTTTCCTTTTTTCTTTCAAAAGGATATAGTAGAAGCAGAAGATGTACAAAGAACTGTGATTATAGTTGTGGGATATCACCTGGGCTGAGGGGGGGGAACCAACCAAAAACCCACCAAAATTACTGTGAGCTGATGAAAGCTGGGTGTGTTCTGAGGTCTTAAGTATAAACAAAACCAGAGACCATCGCTGAGAACAGTGGGCCCAGGTGGTGAACGCTGCTTGGAGCCATTCTGTGTAAGGGCATGAGGACATGGAAAATAGAAGTAGGTGCAGAATTTGGCCTGTGGTCAGCTGCTGGCAGCTTTTGTTGAGGCAAGTACTGTTGACTAATGTTGTTTAAGGTCTTCGTCAATGCACAGGAGAGTGGCATGGGTTACACCCTCCACGAGGTTGTGAATGACAGAAAACTGGGAGAAGTTGAGAAGCTGGAGGGTAGGGCTGCCATTAGAGGGGCCTTGGCAGGCTGGAGAGATAGGCCAACAGAAACTGAGAAGATAGCAAAGGCACTTTACAGATTCACATATATGGGCTGGAATAATCTCAGCAACGATGGGATCTGGGCACTGACTGACTATAAAGGGCGTTTTAAGAAACAGACCTGGGGATTCTTGTCAACAGTGCATTGCATTGCATTAAATTCTTCTGCCTGAGGCGGCCAACTACATGCTAAGCTGCATCAGCAAGAGTGTAGCCAGCAGGTCAAGAAAAGTAATTATTCCACTGTATGTGGTACTTGTCAGACCACCTCTGGACTACTGGGCCCAGGTTGGGGCTACCTGTTAAAGACAAGACATACTGGAGCAAGTCTAGGAGAGGATCATCACAATGGTTAGGGAACTGGAGCAGACTTGTGAGGAAAGGCTGAAAGAAATGGGTTTTGTTCAACCTGAGTAAGAGAGGAGTAAGGAGAGACCTCCTATCTTCAACTTCCTAATAGAAAGGTATAGAGAAGATGGAACCAGACCCTTCCCAAAGGTACACAGTAATATGAAAAAAGCAATGGGCACAAGTTGAAATACAGAAATTTTGGTTAGATACTAGGGAAAATGTTTCTGCCATGGGGTTGCATAAATGCTGGACAGGCTGCCCCAAGGGGCTATGGAATCTCCGTTTTTGGAGATACTCAAAACTCTGCACGAGGCGCTGAGCAGCCTAATCTAGCACTGAAATTAGATCTCCTTTAAGTAAAAGTTTGGATGAGGTGACCTCCAGAAGTCACTTTTGACTTGGATTATTACTCTTTTTTTATTCTTTTTTTTTTTTCCTCCCTATTGAGTGGTTTAATGCAGCTGCTATTGCCTGGGAGACAAGACTGATGTGTTAGATGATGTGTCAGGGGTTTTTTACCAGCCATCTCTTGTCGGCTTGCTTGGACCAACTTTCCAAGGAATTTGAAGCTTTAGTGACGTTTATTATTAGTGACACAGATGTGTCTTGAAGTTAGCTACATACTTTACCTACTTTACCTGGATAAATTCTGTGTGAATGAGAATCATTACCAGTAGGATCATCTGCATGGCTTATCTTGCCAATGAAGTATTAGATGCTGGTAGTGGGGAACCTTGAGGATGTACTAAAATACTACTTTAATTAAGCATATTCAGCAATTGATGTGTATATTTATCATCATGGCCAACAACATCCTATGTTTATAGTGCAGGGAAATTTAAAGTTCTGGCACCAAGTGGTTTTCCAAGAAGTCGATTCATAGTTGGAGTAGTATTATACAAGCAAACCAATGTTCTTTATGAACAGGATGAGAAGGAAAGATTCAGTTTTAGAGGAAAATAAAGTCGTTATTTAATGACAAAATCACATCAATATTGATTCCTCCAACTTAAGAGCATCTTACTGAAGACAACACACTAAGTATGAAATAGAAGTATTATGAGCATCATATGTATCCAGCAATAGATAAGCCACTTCCACTAGAGAAGTCTGCATTAGACATCTGAAATAAAGTGGTCAGCTAGAGAGAAGAATACTGATATTGAAATACTGGAGTGGCACAGTGTAAATGTATATATTTAAAAAAAACAAAACCAAAAACCATAATTATAGGGAAACTATTTTCTCTGAAATACAAGTTTATTACATATAAGCAACAATCATGCAAGTTATTTGTTGTAATCTAGAAGATTACTACACATTATTCAAAACTAAATTAGATAAGTTTTTTACGTACGTATCAGTGTTAAAGATGCAAGAGGACTCTTTCACAAGCATGACACTTCTATAATAATCATGCAATAAAATAAAGTATTCCCTCTTGTATTGGGTCTGGCTGAGGTGGAGTTAATTTTCCCCCAGCAGCCCTCTCAGCGCTGGGCTGTGTATGGGTAGGAGCAAGGTGTTGGTAACACCCCGGGGTTTTGGCTGCAGCCGAGCAGCGCTGGCACAGCACCAAGGCTGTCTCTACAACATTGCCCCTCAGCAGTAGGCTGGGGGTGGGCAAGACCTTGGGAGGGGACACAGCCAGAACAGCTGGCCCCAACTGACCACAGGGGTATTCCGTACCGTACGACATCATGCTCGGCAATAAAAGCTGATAGAAAGGAGTAGCCCAGGCTGGAGCAGGTTTGCTGGCAGGACTTGCGATGCTGTAGAGGACCCACGCTGGAGCAGTCTGTTCCTGAAGGACTGCACCCTGTGGAAGGGACCCACGCTGGAGCGGGTCATAAAGGACTGTAGCCCGTGGGAAGGACTCATGTTGGAGAAGTTGGTGGAGGACTGTCTCCCATGGGAGGGACCCCACGCTGGAGCAGGGGCAGAGTGTGAGGAGTCCTCCCCCTGAGGAGGAAGAAGCGGCAGAGACAACGTGTGATGAACTGACCACAACCCCCATTCCCCGTCCCCCTGTGCTGCTGGGGGGGAGGAGGGAGAGAAGTCAGGAGTGAAGTTGAGCCTGGGAAGAAGGAAGGGGTGGGGGGAACGTGTTTTAAGGTTTGACTTTATTTCTCATTACTCGACTCTGATTTGATGGATAATAAATTAAATTAATTTCCCCGAGTTGAGTCTGGTTTGCATGTGACAGTAATTGGTGAGTGATCTATCCCTGTCCTTATCTTGACCTACGAGCCTTTCGTTATATTTTCCCTACTCTGTCCTGCCGAGGAGGGGAGTGACAGAGTGGCTTTGGGGGACAGCTGACCTCCAGCAAGGGTCAACCCACTACAGCTCTCTACTGACATCTTGAATGTCATAGGGATTTGACTGAGTGGTGATTGCTTGAACTGTTGTTAGCTGGGATCTCTAATTCCCACTCTGAGCTATCGATATGGATATACACATCTATGCAGGTGGAACAATCCCCATACTCCCATCGCTCAATGTAAAGATCGCAGCATCCTGTGCTTTTCTGACTACTTATGTCCCTTATGTTTACTCTCCTTGCCTCCTATGCCTCCGTGCTTTGAATTCTCCTGTGGGCCACCAGCCTATATTCAGATTAATTTTGTGCTGCATGTGCATGGGATCTGAGGAGCTGTGATATAGACCTTTACTTATATGATTGTCCTGGTTGTCTCCCTTTAATTATTTTTAATCTACCTGTGATGTGAGATACTGCTGTACATAGTGTATAGTAAATGTTGATGTTTAAATATGAGTATGCTTAGCTAGCTGTTCAGTTCTTGTTGTAGTCAATCTAATCAATTTAGCTACAGGAGTTGAGAGAGCTATTCAGCTGACAAATTTAGGCATCTTTAGAATGAGCTAAATAGCTTTTCAGGTTTTGTTGGCTCCCGGGCTATATCTCTCTTGGCTAGAATGGAAGTTTACATACACGTGCATTCAGATGTCTGAAATCTGGAGCTGTATCCTATTAATGTTGTCTCATTTATTTATTTTTAAATCAACTTTGTTAATGAATTTAGTGGTAATATGCTATCATGCAGCATTTTATGATCAGAAACATCTGTTTCTCTGTGGTTTCCTGTAACATCCTAAGAAATTTATTATGACTTCTATTCTTTGGCATGAAGTGCAATGTTAAAACGTGCCTGGAGGGCAAGTAGTTATCAAGTTTCAAGGAGCAAATACTATGTGAAAATAATTTGCAAAAGTGAAACCATAGTTCTACATGTAATAAAGTTTAAAAATGTTTTTGCATTAGGTGGATTGTATAGCGTTTGATGTGGATTAATCTGTCTTGCTTAAGTTTAACATACAGTTGTAGTCTGAATGAAGCCAGCAGTGTTAATATAAATTGAAGTAGTAGGAGTGGATGCATGATTTGCTAAATGTAACCTTGTCAACATGTTATACAATCATTTTTGAAGGCACATGACAAATTATCTTTTTTCTTTTTTTTTTTTTTTTTACTCATTAAAGTCATCATTGTCTTAATCATCTTCCAGAGCAAGAATGTCAGCTGTTTTATATACAGCAGTGAAAGCACAGCTGGAATTTGTAAGCCAAAGAATTTAAAGACTTATGGTAAAAATATTTTTTTGAGGCGGTATCTTTAGAATTGTATATTCAATAACTCTTCATTGTGTTCAGTAGGATGTTATTTGTGGCTGAGTGGAGAGGCAGAAATTTCAGATTGAATTTTTATTTTTGTGGAGATAATTTGAAGAAAATTTGAAAGTATAGTTACTGGAAACATTTCAGTCTGGAAGTATTTGTCACTTCCAAATTTTTTACATTCACTGCTTGGAACATGTGAAGCCAAATTTATCTCATTTCAGTTCTGCTAGGGCTAGTGTAGGTTTAAAAAACATAGAAGAGATGGGATTTTCATCCATTCAATTGAATGTTAGACAGTAATAATCATATACAGTTTATGGAAAGGCAGCTTCCTGGAAATGCAGGTCATACCCTGTCGTAATCTTAGATTTTTTTTTTTCTAGTGAATTACAGCAAACTCAGCTTTTCTAAATAGTGAGTTTTAAGAAGGAGGAAAAGGCAGGAAGGCGACGCTAGAGGCTTTCAGAACAAAAGAAGGTTAGGGGTTGTAAAGAGGAAAGTGAGAGGATAGGAAGTGCTTAGTTTTGAAAATTGTTACACAGAACTGCTGGGAGCAGCTAATGGATATTTCCAAAACTATGGCCTGCAGGGCTGTTGTATGTGGTCTGATATTTTGCTGGAACCTAGGCCATGGTGAGGGAATGGCATTTTGATTGCGGCACTCATCATTTCATACAAGTGCTTCTGAGATCTAATGCAGCTGAGGCAAGTCAAATCTGGCAGGTTAAATCATGTGACATGATTTTCACACCATGTAAAAATTTGGTGCCACTTTGGACTCCGAAAGGAGTTTCCTACTGAGACGATCATTCCGCTTTCTCACCGAGAGCACCTTTAAAATAAGATGTTGACCTAAGAACAAAGATGAATTCAAGCTGGACAGCTAGAATGGTTCCTCCCCACAGCTCACTTTGCTGCAAATTTTCACCTTTATAGGAGAATATTTGAATTACACATAAAAAAGATCTTGAATCACTGCAGTTTCCAGGTAGTATCTATCAATGTAAGTAAAATACGTGCTGACTACATAGATTTTATTTTTGGGGAGTCATAAATGGGTGATTTTGGACTGCTTCATGCGTGTTTCAGCTGTTCCTCCTGTGGAAGAGCAACCTCTGGAACAGGGGTGGTGCACAGTGCTTGGTATAGTCACAGCTTTGGATCTCTGACTCTAATTTGTGTGTGTTCATGAATATCATATAGTACAATGTATACAGCCTGATGAAAGTTTTGGTAAGCATTATTCCTTAAACAAATACAGGTCTTTTTCAAGCTTGATACAACAATATTACAACCTTTTTCTAATTAGGCTTCTTTGCCGCAGTCTAAGGACAGAATGAGAATATTCATTTGAATATGCCTCTAGGAGAAGAAATGAAGGTTAATTATTTCCAACCAATGTTTTTTATTATCACTTCTGTCATTCGTAGACACCATCCACCTTCCTTCTTGTAGTCCTAATTTTGCCCTTGAGAAGGTGAGATATGCAGGGAGGGGGGAAGCCACTTCACATGTTGCATCCATTTTCATACTCTTGTTGTACCTTGATGTATCTTTAAGGAAGAAATAGGATATGTGAGAGTAGCCCAAAGAATGTCACCTCTAGAAGATTTTTGTGTGAGTTGCATGGTTGGAGTGTTCCAAGATGATATTTGAGGCAATAATTTGTAAAATAATGCTGGTTGGAAGTAAGTAACCTTCAAAATTTGCATTAAAAGCTTGACAAATAGAAATAAACAAATAAGCTCTATTCAAGACTTTCCATATGGGTCTGCAGAAAGATATTATTGTCTTGAGTGGATTTTTATATTGCCAAAAATGATTTAGATGTTAACTAGTGCTATTGCACTCACTTTTATTCTATTTATGTTGCATTAGGCCTTTAGAATTGGTAGTGAAAGAAAAAATGACCAGTGGACAACATTCAAGACATTTGACCTGCCAAGCAGTGCTAACATAATATTTGCCTATTATGTAGCACAGGTATATATGCTACATCATTTATGGCTAAATACTAAATGTCTGTTGGTTTGTTGTTTGTTTTTTTTTTTTCCCCACAGATTCAGAGCATTCCTATTACAATTTAATCTTGAAGAAAGCAGGACAATTTTTATCCAATTTGCAAATCAATCTATTGAAGTTTGCACTTTCCATACGGGCATATTCTCCAACTGTTCAGATGTTTCAGCAGGTGACTATATTATCTGATATATTTAGTACATAATCTTATGTGGTATTTTAGCTGCAAAGTAAGGCATGTTCATTATTACAGTTCAGTAAAATACATTTCAGATGTTATTTGGAATCAAACATGATCCATTTATAAAGGTGATGCATTATAAACTGGTTATATTGACAGGAACAAATATTCATATTTAATTGTATGGATAGCATTATTTTCAGGGTAGAATTTTTGGAATTATTCATTTTTAAAGCTCAGGTTGTGGGGGTTTTTTGCATTGCTTTTAATAATCCTATGGGAATTCAGACATTCCCAAAGCATGACGTTTCCTGTAGCTTCAAGTCATTTACATTTGTAATTTAGTGGGCTTCTCATCTCTCTCATTATTTTAGTATTTGAAAAGTTGGAAGGTAGAATAGTTAAACACCTGCTTTGTTAATGAAAAGGTGGGAGGACATAAATTCACTGTACCTCTAGTCTAAAACTGCTTCTCCTCCTTTTAGCAATGCCACCTTCCAGATAAAGTGAGAAATCCATGTTTCTGAAAGGTAATGAGCTGTAATAAAGTTAGGGGTTTTTGCAAGTGTTCTCTGGAGGAATATTATCATCTCAGACTCATATCTTTTCATTTTTATCTTTCAGCTTGTAACTCCATAGTCATTGATGTACAGTCATATGATTCCCACCTAACATGGGAATAGCTGAATAGAGTTCAAAAAAAAAAGGCAGGGAAGCGGGAAGGAGAGAAAACCAAAAATTGACATTAATTGTTTTGGATTTATTGGTTAGCAGTCAAATCTTTGTACATTAATATGATTGCTGATAGTGTCTAAAATTAAAAATATCTCAGAGTACAGGCTGTGATTTCAGCTTGTGGAGGAGATTTCTCAGCCCTGTCTTTACAGAACATAAATGCACTTGCATTTTCTGGAGTATGACTATTTGATAGACTCATGTCACAAAGACTGTAAAGTCTTAATCTTCTAATATTTTCCGTAATTTTTTTCACGTGTACCCAATTTTGAATGGGCTTAATTAGAAACACAACTCAATGGTAGCTGTTGAGTTATTTTAATCAAGGGGATGTGAGTTTAAGTTGAAGTGCAATCAAAGCATTCTGGTTGAGTATAATTGTTGAAATATTAGATTGCAGCTGATGAACCTCCACCAGAAGGCTGCAGTGCATTTGTGGTTATCCATGAGAAGCACACCTGTAAGACTAATGAAATAAAAAAGCTGCTGAAGAAGGCTACTAAGAGGTAAATGTAATGATCTGTTTCAAGAGGGAAAATAGATTACTAAAGAGGAAAATGTATTATTGCATATCTACTTGTAGTATTTTGAAATTTTATGTTCTACTTGATAATGCCAAGCCCATAAATCCCTGTTTACTGGATGTTCAAAAACATAACATTTAAAGTTTACATTATTTTAAAAGAGTTACTTTTGGTTTTGAAATATTTGAAACATTTACTGTTATGAGAATTCATCAGTTATGAATCAAAGTAGGGTTTTAAAATAAAATCATAGAGCTTCACTCTTCTAACCACATGGATAATTTTGTATTTCTTCCCTTTTTTTGCTGTGGGATAGTTAAGTTTAAGTTACAGTGTATTTTCTATACAAACTTACCATTTAATGCGTCTGAGATAGTACTTCTGCTGACAGACCTTTCTACATAGTGCGGCTGCATTTGAGGTTTTCTGGATTGTAAGGGCTTAGCACAGCAGTGAAAGAGGAGTGTGCGTCAGCTAGCATAACCTTTCCTTACCTTGTGCTAGACTTTGCACCTATCAAGCCTTTCTGCAGGCTTTGGCCTGTGGAAACTAGCAGCAGCCCAGAATGAATTTGGGCCATAAAGTAAAATATGTAGAACTATCAAAATAACAAATAATAACAAAATAATGAAAGCAAAATGTTTAATCTCTATAAAAATGAATTAATTTGTATTTTTTCAAGATTATGTTTGGGATTTTCAAGATTTTGTTTAGGATGTTTTTCCTGCAGTGGTCGAGGTGACCATAATATACATTAGTGTCCATACCCTCAACCACTTCATGGAGATACGTGGAGCTGAAAGATGATTTAATAGGGCATGTTTCTTGGATTTTGCTTTCTATCAAATATAAATTAGAGAAACCTATACATTTGTCTCTGTGTGGATGGTTGTTTAGGAAAACAGTTTTGTGTTCTACATGTGTGATGTATGGTATTTTCTAAGTCATTGATACATTTGCAACCTACTAAATCATTGTCTTTTACTTATTCAATAGCCAGGGGTTTTGCAAAAACACTTCACTGCCTAGTTTGCAAAGTCCCATTTTTAACTATTGAATTCTGCCTAACAAATGTCTCCTACTTTCTTACATAAATTATTTGCACTGTATTTTGGCTTTTAAAATAATGTTGAATTCTTCTGGTCATATATTAAGATATCATGAGACCTTAACATTTTATCGCAATGTCTGAGTACACTCTTCTTCTAAAGCACTTAACTGGGTTCAGCAAGTTCTCCTTTCTGGAGATACTGTCCCCAAATTTACAAGATTCTGGAAAATCACGATACTAAACAATTGAATCCTGAGGTATTCAGAATTGAAAGAGTTAGACTTCTAGGAATTACTACCTTTAAGAATTCACAAAACAAAACTTAAGTTCTTTCTATTAAATTGTTCTTGTGTTTTGAATAGTTTCGTGTGCACCAGTCACATTACAACCTTCAGAGCTGCAGGGACAAAATCTTGATAAATTTACTCTCCTCCTCCCCACCCCAAAAGTAGCTGAGTCACTCAAATATTTAGAGTTCCTGGAGCTAGACTTTGAGAGAAACACGTTCACCCTCAGGTAATTGTTTCACCTATTATTTCCAGTGGTACTTTGAGTAGCAGATGCTTTTCACTTGTGCTGGAGAGGTTTAGCCTAGGTGATGTAGATAGGACTGTGCTCCTATTCTTCTATAAGGTGAACAAATGATATATGGGACAGTGTGCGATGTCACTGTTGATTCCTCCATGGCTTTTATGAAAAGAGATCTTTTTGTTTTATTGAATCCTTTTTTTATTTCAAACTATTTTCCTTTGTGTTTCATTTTCTTTTTCTCTCTGTCTTCTATCTGTCATGACTCTTCCACTTAAGCCAGGCCAACTTAAGCTAGGTTTTCAGTTGTGTCCTAAAGTTCCCCAAATTGGATGAGGACACTAGAAATGTTCTATTTTTAGGGATGATAGTTTCAAATCTCACTGGAAGAGAAAGAAGAGGCTGCACCATTATTTTGCGCAGATCCATGAGCTCAACCTGAGATCCAGGAAGACTCAGGAGACCCCAGATAGTCTGCATGTCAAGATCAACGTTTTGCTTCATCCAGTCCTTTATGTAGCAGCTACTATGATTTGGTCTGTTACACTTTCAGCCGTGTTGCAACGAACTGCATGGCTCTAATTGGAAGTATTTTGTGTGGAGGTGCAATGGGCTGCTCGAGGGCTCTGGACATTTCAAAGGAAGATCTTTCTTCAGTGGTTAAATGGTTGGGATTGCTTATCTTGCTGACTGTCCAAAACACAACTCTTAAGATTTCTGGGGCTGTTGCTGCCAAGAGCAGAAGCATTGATGGGAGTCCCGTTTTGCTTAAAACGATCAGTGCCTTAGAAAGCTTGTCACTACACGTATCTGCCGTCTTCTGTCCATCACATCCCTTCTGCATCCCGTCTTGGCAAGTAAGTAGGAAATTATCTAGGCAAGCATATAGTTGCCTGTACTACCCTAGTAACTGTTTAGCGAGTGTTGAACTCCACATCCATGTATTTTTTTTATCTTTTTATATCTGCCCAACTGCTATTCCTTCCCTTTCAGGCAGCCTTCTCATGAGAATCTCTTATGGCAGGAAATAAATTAGCTTTCAGCTCTAAGAGCAAGAGAATCAATTACTTCTCACTACTATTCAGTATCAAAGAGAAACAGAGAACAGAGGCTTATCTTGGATTTACAAGGGCTGAATGCTTTAATTCTCCAATCCAAGGTCATTTTGGGAGCCCTATGCAGTGTTATTTCACTGCAGCACTTAATTTTTTAGTGAAGCTTGGTCATTATAGTATAAAATGCTTCCTTGGAGACTGTCAGTGTTCAAGAAAGTCATGACAGCACTTTGTACCCACCTTTTGAGAACAGGAGTTCTTCTTCTTCTATACATAGGTGACTAGTTAAGGAAAGAGAAGGTCCCTTGATTTAGGTTTTCAACTCTCTGTAAATGACTGTGGCAGTTCTTGTCTCTCTGGATATGAGCAGGAAGTTGCACGAGTCACATCCCATATGTATGCTTTCACTGGGGGTAAATCTGGATCTGTTCTTCAATGGAGCTTACTCATTTCAGGAGTTGTTTCAGACTCCCTGATGACACCTACTTTGTCTGCCCTGTCCTATGATGTGAGTGGGAAAGCTTGCCTGATATTTCTGTGACATGTGGCTGCATGCACCCAAGTTAATTCTGAAACCAGGCCCCTCCTTTTATCTCTGTCTTACAAATGTGGTCTTTGATTGCATACCTACCAGGCTTACACAGGATGTTGATGTTAAGGCCCTGAGTAACCTAATACAAACTGGCCCTGCTTTGAGTGAGGGTTTGGAGCAGATGACCTCCAAAGGTCCTTTACAGTGTAAGTAATTCTGTGATTTTATATTGAAGATATTCCTAAGCTTTGTATCACAGAAACTGTGGGGTGTGGAGTTCTGCTTACACTTTCCCAGTATGACTTTTCAATGAGCATCTACTACACGCATTTCTGTAGTGCATGTTGGATTAGAGTTTCTCAGCTTGCCTTGGAGAGGTTTGGAGGGAGTTTACGAGTCTTTCAAGTGTGACTATGCAAAGGCAACTTTGAAAAAGAAGTGTACTGATCGATAATTAGCACATTGAGTATATTACTCAAGCATATCCCCTGTTACTTTTCCATCTTTCCAAGGACTTATGCAAAAGATGTTTGTAGTCATCTAAGAAATCATTGCAGGTATAGAAAGTGTAACTTTGCTACAGTCATGGCCTTCAATAAGGAGGGTAGGTAGGCAATCAAAATTTGCAAAATTAGCTAAACTAACAAAGCTTGATGGTGTAAGAGAAGCATAACCCCAGCATATTAGCTTTCTCAAACTTCACTGACTGTCCCTCTGATACTGTTACTGATTGATCTGTACATCTCTAGCCATGTAATGCATCATTTAAATTAAAAGGTTCAAACTGTAACTGATTGTTGCATAAAATCTCAATGCTGTGCTCTTTGTTTGCTCTTTGTGTTGTTATTTGATTAAATTATATTAAAATTATTTATAGTTGATGCTGATTTTTCAGTTTCTTAGGCTTTACTTTGAAACTGTGTTCTAAGTTCTTTTGTGAGCAATCATGATTATTTTGTGATGATTTTAACATGGCTTGTATACTTTCAGCATATAAGCCCTTAGTAGTTTTTCAACTATGAAGTAGAAAAACTGCCAGTGTTTTTATTTATTTTCTGAATATATAATATTTTCTGAATATATAATGTCACAATTATTTGTTTTTAAAACCAGACCCAGGCCATATCTTTTTAAGGGAGATCATAAATTCCCAACTCTCAAGGAGGACGGCCCAGTGGTTGTTCTTTATGCAGAAATGGGTACAAAAGACTTTGTTAAATTCCACAAGATTTTATCTGAGAAGGCACAAAAGGAGGAAATTGTTTATGTTCTCCGGCATTATGTTCAGGTACGCAATTCAAATTAACATTGATTCAGTAAACTGTTAGTATTCTGTTTTTATTTTGTTTGCTTTCTGACGAAACACATTTTCTACATTTATTTTTGCATTTGCCTAAATCATGTGCAATATATATTCTAATTTTAAAACTTTCTAGATTAAATTATTCACCTAATACAAACTTTGAAGCTGGGAAAGCATGATAATATTATCTAATCCTGCATGCAAGCACTGTTAGCATCACTGATTGATCCTGAAATACCTCTTTTTTGGTTATATGTCTGGTTTTTGTATGTTGTACAAAGGTCTTGGGTGAATCTTGGTGCAGCAGACTGCACATATTAGTAACAAGGATTAGAAAAATGGGAAGTAGAATAGAAAATCAAGCTGAAAAATAATTATAATTTTACATATTCTTAGTATAATCTCATATGTTCATTGTAGTACAGCAGCATGGGTTATCACAGTCAACGTCATTGACCAGTTTTTCAACACTTACATTCCACAGTGTCAGTATTTTAAACATAATGTTTCCAAATGCTTTTTTTTTAACTTACTCTTCTCCCTGAAACAAAACAAGACAAATACCAGCACATGGAAGTATATTGTCCCCAGTTTGGGTTATTGGAATTTTTTTGTAATTTCTGTTCAGAGTACAGCTCTTAAGTAGTCCAGCTAATATAGGACTAATCTGATGAAGTGAGAGGTTGCTGTGATTTATGCAGACCAGGCATTTCAGGAAGATGAAATCCATAGTTTGTGGATGACCAAGTTGTTTGCTCACAGTAATGAAATAGAAAATTTGAGGAAACCAATCTTAAATTCTAAGCTGTGTGGGATGTAGTTTTTACTGAACTTTCTTTTCCTTTATGCACTTTTTTTTCAGTTAAAAGCCTACAGTCTTCTTGCTCTGACCAACTCATGCATTATGGTCCCCCCAAATACCTGTTGTCCTCCTCCCTGCACAATTTCTGTCTTCAGACTGCTCTTCCCTTTTCCTTCTTCCTCACAACCTCCATTTTTACTCTTTGGTTCCCACTAAGACAGATTTTTCCCTCCTTTTTTACATTAAATGCCAGAAGAGGGAGCATTCAGAGCAGAAGAGGTATGGTCTTTCTGCTGTCTTTTTTTTTTTTTTTGCCAGTATCACCAAGACTGCTTAGAGACTGCAGTGCTGTCTGCATTGAGATTTGCTTAGAGGACCAGCAGAGAAAACCCCCAGCCCTGTTGGATTTTCAGTTGTGGGCTGAAGGGTTCTCAATACAGAATGTTTCTTAGAAATTGTAAGCTAAAGCCAAAAAGCTTTCAAGTTCTGTGCATGTTCAAATTACATTTTGGAAAGGGGATTTTCATACATTTTGGGCAAATTAGGGCATGTTTTCAGAAATATGTATGCTCTGAGTAATTACACTGTTGAATGTCAAACTTCCACTCCAAAGTTAGAAATGCTTGTTGTTTGTTTTTAATAAGTGGCAACTTGTTTTTGGCAGTGATACTTTAATATGTTTTCTTATCCTCCTTGCAGAAAGTGATTATCTCTTTCATCAAAACGTTTTGAAGGAATGAGCCTGATGCATAAATAAATAATTTCCTCCTAATGTGCTGAAATCTGGCAAAATTACAAAGAAATTTAAAACAGCTTAAAATGTGACCAGTAATTGTATAGGGTGCTATCAGCTCAGTCTGTGGTAGTCCTTTCTATAATATTATTTGAAGTTACTCCAGTTTTGACAGCCTTTCTGTGGTCTGCAGGAGATAAAGGAAGTCCTTATTTTCTGTTACACACCTTCTCGATGGGCTATCAATATGCCTTACATGACTTTTGTATTTTGTTTGGTGTAGTGTTTTGTATTTTGAATCATAAATTGAAAGATGAATTTAAGTTATGACTGTCATAAGATTTTAAAGTTACAGTATTAGATGTTTTTAATCTCCTATAAATACATTTTTTAAGTTGGTTTTTTTTGTTGTTGTTCTGTTGAAATAATATCATCAAACAGAAACCAGGTTCCAGAAAAATGTATTTATCTGGATATGGTGTAGAACTTGCAATAAAGAGCACAGAATATAAAGCAGTAGATGACACTCAGGTTAAAGGTATGGTTTTTTTAATTCATTATGTCTTATTGGAGATACTATTAAAGTATGTTACAATCTTCAGTTATGAAGTCAGTAATGTTTTGAAGGTTATACTTAATTTCTTTTTATAGAACGAACTCTCAGCATTAGGAAATACATCAAAATATTTGCGAGTATTTCTTAACAGCTGTGCTTAGGATATAGTTCTTTATCTAATCTGTAATTATTGTTATCTGGAGCTCTACTTCAAAATGTAACTCATTCTTTCTCCTTTCAATAAGTATAAGAGTGTTTAACCTTTGTTGCTCAATTATTTTATGTTTGTTGGCATATCTAACATGCTAACTACCATAGTATCTACACATTAGTATTTCAGGGTTGTGGTTTTTTACTAAGTTTTTGTGGAAATACTTGCACAGCCTTCTGTAGGAAAGATGTGTTCTATCATAGAATTTGGTACCAGTGTACGTTACTACGTGTTGAAATGAAACACACATCACAGAAAGTAGTAGCTATAGCATTCGGACACAGAGAAATTACTTTGTGTAGAGATTTACAAGATTTAAAGAAAGTTAGTTAACTCTTCTTTGGTAAGATTAAGGTTTAACGGCCTTTCGGCCACTTCGAAAATAGTTTAATATTCTTTTAAGGGAAAGAAACTCATCTCTGACTTACATCAAATGTTAGCTGGAGATTCAAGCACTGTAAAGTCATCATGTTTTTCAAGCATAGATCTGGTCATAGTTGGCTGGTGAGAGTTATGCCTTACCACTTGTCAAACTGAGAAATGGCTATTTTGAGAAGCAAACTATTTAACCGTATCAATTTCATTTATATAAACAAATGTAACCATTGGATGAATGATATTTAAAAATTAATTTGAAAGTTGCTAATTTCTATAAAGTGATTCATTCTGATGCCAAAATATGAATGCATAAATATAAATCTAATTGAAAGTATGTCTGGGAATGACAATTTTCTGATTGTATGTTTCTGTCGACAGTTTTATAATTCATAAGAACATAATACATCAGGAACTTTCTTGTTTTATATTGTCTGTGTGCTGTGTGTTCAGGAGCAAATGATACAAAAGAAGAGGAAGATGATGATGATGAGGAGGAGGAAAGTGATGTCCAAGGATTTCTCTTTGGCAAATTAAAGTGAGTTGACATAAGTTATAATTAAAGTTCTGCATTAGTTTCTGAACATGAACCAAACCCAATTCTTTTACAGAAGTGAGATGTTGGAAATTACTTTATTTGTGACTGGTGAAAATTCTGATTAATTTTCGTTTTGGTGTATGTCTTGTGAGTGTAAAAATGCAACAGTTGTTTATTCTATCCATTTTACTGGATTTAGTTTTCTAATTTCTTTTAAACTGTTTTTAAAGTAAAAAGATCCCTCTGAGCAACAGTCAAAAAAACCTTAGATACAAACATGAAAACATGGTGTTCTACAGTAAATGGTTGCTGCTACTTCTGTTTTCAGATAATTAGAATCAAAACGTTGGTTTTCAAAATGCAAGTAGTAGCACAACAAATCCAAGGCCATGTGTTATAGTTACATAAGGTGTTTTCAAGCTAGGTAGGCATTCATTTCTTTGGGTTAAAGAGTGATATTTCTTGGAAGATACGCTGATTATAAATGTGTTCTTATTTTGGAGTTTGTGAATTTATGTTCTGTTCTGGCAGGAAGTCTTTTATCTCCAAGTTACAATCTGTTAGTTGAAGTGATTGATGAAATTGGATGCTACCTTATTGAGGGCTATGGGTTGCTTCTGGTCCTCTGTTGATGGATTCATTTCATGATTGCTGTCATCAGAAGTGCTTCCCTTTCCCTGTAACCGCTCCATGCAGTGAATCATAAATCTTGGCTTTTTCTTCAAGAAGAAACTCAAGAGTGTGGGTCTTCTCTAATGTCATTCTCTCTGTTGTTTTTAAAGAAAAAAGTAAACTTATTTGTAGATATTCTCAACAAACTGTAAGTCTTCTTAGAGTTTAGAGCTGCTAATGCTGTCTAAATTTCTGAGAGCCCACCCCCTTTCTGCCTTTTTTATAGTAAACACATTGAGATGAAAGTGCACCCAGATCTGTAGGCTTTCTCATTGTTTCTCCTACCTGTGGAGATCTTCTACAGCATGTAATATCAAATGCTTATGTCATATTTTCATCTGAGCTTTTTTTCTTCTTGGATTTTGCTAGATTTAGCTATACTTAGGTTCTTGATGTTGCACTGTGGCTAATTTGTGAAGCTGTCAGATAGTTACTCAGACTTCTTGACAGTGTTTCTAGGCTCTTAATTTTTTTTCCTCTCCTTTTCATACTGGAGACAAAAGAGATGCTTCAGTAATCTTTAAATTGTCCCTGAGTTATAGCCGTGTCAAAAGTTATACTTTTCTCAGCTGTGAAATATTTATAGATGTAAGCAGAAGACAAAATATCTTAGAAATACAACTATTTGGTAATTCAAATTAGTAGAATTCAATCCTATATCATAATACGTATCCAGAGAAGGGCAGCTTTTTTCACTTGGCTTTATGTGTGCTGAATTTTGTGCCCACGCTGAACTTAATGCGAGTGAACAAGAGAAATGAGGGACTAAGCATCAATACTAGATCTTGGTTGGGGCTTGCAGCTAGGTCTTATTTGTCAATTGTCTTTCACTCACAGAAGAATAAAGAGTCTGAGGAGAAAAAAAAACGTCATGAAGGTAAATTTGCAAAGAAGGCAGTAAAAGCAATACTTAAAAATTTCAAAACTAGTTAAAAGTTTGCTACATCATAGAGGGATTTCTAGGAGTACAAACTATATTTGTCATTTCTAAGCCTATGTTGCAAGTAAGAAAAAAAGGAATTTTCTGTCTTTGCATCCCTTTTTACCTGAGTATGCTTTTATTGAGGAACCTGGATTAATTTTTAATCCCAGAACAACAGTCTTCGTCAGTGATTTTTTCTTCTTTTTCTGTGAAGACAAACAGTTAATACCATCCAACAGCTAAAAAAATGAGGGCATGGAGTGATAGGACAAGGGGTGATGGCTTTAAGCTGAAGGAGGGTAGGTTCAGATTAGGTAATAGGAAGAAATTCTTCCCTGTGAGGGTGATGAGGCACGGGAACAGGTTGCCCAGAGAAGCTGTGGATGGCCTCTCCCTGGCAGTGTTCAAGGCCAGGTTGGATGGGGCTTTGGGCAACCTGGTCTAGTGGAGGATGTCCCTGCCCATGGCAGGGGGGTTGGAACTAAAGGATCTTTGAGGTCTCTTCTAACCCAAACCATTCTGTGATTCCTTGTGAAATTTCTTAATATCTAAAATAAAATACAAAATCGTACAGAACTTAAAAACAGACATCTAAAACACTAAGACTTTTAGCTACTTTTTGGTTCTTGTTCTATACTTCTAGTAGAAGAGTCTTTAGTGGTGATTCTTTGATGTTGGAGGGTGTCTTTTTGCAGGCTGAAGTCTTCGCCCTCAAAACTTCTTTGCCCAATTATGTTTTCAAAAAAGATAGCCAAGCTTTTGGGCACCATGCTGTTCTTCAGGTCTGACTAGTGATTTGTGTGCTCAGTAGCTTAATTTTTGTCAGTTATGTTAATTTTTAAAATATTTTCTCAATATTAGCTTGCTTATATCTTTTGTAGGTAACACAATGAACTCTGTGTCCATGAAGTTATAGTTAATCCACAGTACAGTTAGTATACAGTTAGTTATACATGATGCTATAATAAACTCACTATATAGTTAACTGTATTGTGTGTTAATACTATTTAATCTTTGAGTTCATTTATTCCATCAAAATTTATGTGACATGGTTTGAGACAGATCATTACAAAACAATTGAACTCCTCCTTGTAATTAATAGGTTTTTAGTCCTCAGAAATCACCTCTTATCACCCCAAATCCTCATTTTTGTTTCAAGAATGAATTAAAATTTGAATTCTTGTGTTTTACCCTAAAGATACAGCATAAACTGTGAGCAAGACTGTGGATTAAATTTGAAATTGATGGATGTCATTGATAATGCCTTTCTTTTAAAAATGTTTTATTGTAGACAGATGCATCCTGATCTGAAAAATAATTTGAAAGAGTTTAGAAAACATCTAATTGAAACTACTAACAACATGGAACCACTGAAAGTTTGGGAGCTACAGGGTATGTATTGCATTTTTCTGAATTAACACAGTACTTTGTTTAATTTTCCTTCATTGTGTGGATGTATCGATGTTATGATAAAAGCTTCTTTTAAAAAGAGACATGGTTTCATAAAAAGGCAGTATTATATCAAGTATTTAAAAAGAATGTATTGGTATCTTGTCCTAGTATTATATGCTAGAAATAAAAGGAACATTGAAGTCATTTTATAAGGTGGAGAATCATAACTAGCTTTACTGATTTTAAAGACAGAAATTATATTGCCCAGTTTTCCGCCTGATGTGTTATCTTGGATGCTAAATTTAGTTTCGGATTTTTTTTTTTAGGAATCAGACAAAAATATCATTTTGACATGACTATTGAGTCAGGACAAAATACAGGCTAAGACATTTTACTTTCTTTAATTTATAAATTCTAACTTTTATCAGTGTACTGGAGTTTACATTGATACATTTTTTAATATAACAACAAATGGAAGAACATGCTTTTAAAAGCTTTTCTGTGGTAAAGAAGTAGTTGATTTCTAAACAGCTTCTGTGCTGATGACCTGCAGGACATTCTACAGCTTGAATGGAGTTATAAATCACTCTAAAATAAGTCCCTAAAATGTCATTGCACTTAAGTTTAGGCAGCTAAATTTTGCCTGTTGCATTCTTCAGTTTTAGAGGACAACCTGATCAAAACTGATTTGCCTTTATTCTAGTGCAATGAAGAAGACTGAGCAATCATCTGAACTTCAGTTTCTTTTTGGGACCCTGACTGTTATGGAACTTGCTAGCAGTGTCCAGTCTGGAACTAGCTATTTGAGATAATTGTAGCTCACTTGCAGTCTTTTATCAATTAACTCACCTTCAGCTGCAGGATTTATGTTGGCCCAAAATTTAAAAAAAAAATCAAAAACCATTGCATTTCGGTTCTTCTGAGAAATCTACTGTGCAAATAATAAGAGAATTCTCTTTTTCGCTATTAAAATTATTTTTTTTACATGATTGAATACCACTCTGTTGCTGTTCAAGCAGCAGCAGCTGTGAAACTTTGACTCTCTTTAGTGTCTACCTTCAAAAGCGAGTACAAAGTCTCTATTTAGTTGTGGTCTTTTCTGCAATGTCATGGCTATATAAATAAAAAATTAAATTGGTGCTGCTCACCAAGCAAGTGGTTCACCCAGTGTTGAAATCAGTTAAGTGCTGGGATGCTGTTTTTTCAGTACCAGGAAGACTGGTACTGGCTTGTGATAAGGACATTCAGGGCCTTTTCAGCCCCCTCTCTGTATAGTGCAGTTGTTTTGATACTTTTACTCCTGACATGACTGAGTGTTTGCTCTAATTCATTCTTAATGACTAAATATAGTTGCAGAGTTAATGGCTCAGCTACTCTCTAATTTCCTTTAATTAGCTTCCAAGTAAAAAATTAACTAAATTTAACCAAAACTCCTTCAGCTATAGGGCATACTTCTATTTATAAATGACCCTAAACACCATTCAAGAGTTGTCTTATAAGAGCCTTTATGTTTTAGGTAAGTAATTAGGTTTACTATTCATATTGAAAAATGATGCACAGAGTACCAATGCGGTATTCCCTTTAATAACTCATTCTTTTATCTGTGTGAACGGCCTCTTGATCTCTAGTGCTTCATTAGCTTTCAAAGCATACTTTGAGATCTGCTTTAAGTTCAAGAGCATCTTTTCCTCAAGATGCCCTACACTTCTCTCTCAGCTGTGTTGGGGTACTGCAAGGGGAGGTCTGTAAGTGACAGTCCCTGGCCAGACATAACCAAGAAGGTAAAAGGACATGTCACTTTGGCTCAGTGGGATTTGAATATTCATACTCTAGCTGTGCAGCATAAAATGGAAATTATTAACAATTTATGAAGGATTTTAAGTGTATGTCCGAAGGGCACAGCAGGTAAGGCATCACTATCTGTAGTAACAGCAGCAATTGGATATTGCTTCACTTGATCACAGCTTATATGGCTGTTGAAAGGGATCTGAAACATTCTTTTTGAAAACAGTGATCTCTTTATGCTTTTTGTTAAACATATTAAGAAATACTGAATTAACATTCCACCTCTCAGATTCACCTTTTTTTTTCCAGCCAAGGTGTACCTTGTCAGACTAAACTAGGAGTGTGTGCCATTCACTTTTCTTCAGCCTTTTTTTTTTTTTTTTCAATTCCTTATTGCTTCAGAAAGGTGGTGCAAAATTCTACTAAGCAGCATCCTTCTGTGCAGCACTTTTTACTATATGTGGCATCAGCTTTCCTCAAACTCACTAACCCTAAAAGCATAGAGAGAAAAATTATATCCCTTTGGAAATTGTGCTAGACACTTAGAAGAACTGAAATTTGACAGTAGATTGGCTTTTCTTTCATTAGTCTCCATTTCCTCTTCCTGTGAAACTGCTGCTGCTTTTGAAAATTGTACACCTTACATGCTCAATACAGCCTTCTACATTTAATATATCTATTCTCTGAAAATCTTGTGAAGTCCTGGAGCTGGAAAGATCTTACTCTTTACTGCAGTTATGGGTGTCTGTGGGTTGGTGTGTATCTAAGTTTGGGCATGATACCCTTGTGATACTGGCATAACACCACGTGATGAATTGTCTGGTTTTTTCAATGTGTTTTTATAAACTTAGAAATTATACATATAATGTGTATGCTCAAGATGGCTGAGCAGAATTCTGTAGGACTTTGGTATTTCCAACTTTTAAACTTTTAAGTGCCCATCTTTTTGACCTTAATAATATTACTTCATAATCTTTTACAATGTATAATTGAAACATAAAAAATGTTAATAGTGAGAGTGTCTATATGGAACAGTTGTCTTATTGTAGGCAACATTGATTAAGTGATATTTCCAGTGATTCTTTTTTTTTCCCCCAGATCTTAGTTTTCAAGCAGCTGCTCAAATTATGTCTACCCCTGTTTATGATGCCTTAAAGGTAATGAAAGACATAGCTCAGAACTTCCCAATAAGAGCCAGGTATGATACTTAAGCTTGTTTTTCAAATACTGTTTTTATGTTTGCATTTGAATTTAATAACAGCAATACAGATTTATATCCAAATCCTGCAGTCAGATATTCATGTTTTATAGCTTGCTAGATGGATTCCAGGCAATTTCATTGAGTAGAAAATAACTCCTGGGAGAGCTCATGATCGGTCTCTTAAATGTTTCCTGTGTGAAGCAGGAGATGCCATGAAGGCATCCTAATCCTTCAGGCACTTCTGGTTGAATACCTAGTCCTTCCAGTTTACACTGGAATCTTATTTTCCCAGGTGGAAAATTCTGTTGAACTAATAACAGATCTACTCACAGTAGGAAGAGGCAAAATTCTACCAATAAATTTCATAGGGGATCCACCCACATTGGTTCTAAGCACAACATTGCTGACAAGATTGGGCCCCAGCTACTGTATGTTAGTGTTCTTACTGGGAAAGATCTGTCTCCCATAACAAATTACTTAATGAAAGATCAATATAAGTGTTAAATAACTGAATAACATTTCCCTCTGTACTAATAATAAAAATTGCACTTCCTGTAAGCCAATTGAATTGTAATTGAGAAATGCTTTTCTTTATACTTAATAAGTTCTTTATGTAATCCTATTGGCAATATTTGCTTGAATTACTAAATTAAATATGATGCTAAATAGGATTCTTAACTCAGTGTGCTTTCACATTTTACAACTCTTGTTTAATTATCACAGTGTTTCATTGTCGTGTCTGATTTTCTGCTAGAGAAAATCTACACTGTAATGGAAAAACTACCTTTGTAACATCTTGTTTCAAGGAAGAAAAATAACTTTTTAAATGCCTGAAACATAATTATTATGAAATAGTAAGGTACAAGTTTACACTTAGCAACCAGAAAATGCAGCTTTCCATTAGAAGATAGTGGGAACATACATAATGTTGAACTGCAAGGCCAGTTCTGTTCTTTAAAGGACAGGAAAAAGTCAGTTTGAAGTATACTAGGTGACATTTAAATCATTGATTTAAAAAGTCATTAAATTGTTCCATCCTACTCCAGCTCCTGCTGTGTATTTGTAGCATTAGAGCACAATTTACCTATTCTTCAAACATTTTATGGGTAAAATTGTAAAGAGACTTTAGAATTAAAAGGGGAATTGCAGTGCCTGTCCTGTATGATTTATGCTAATCTAGCATGCTATTTTTAACATGAGAGACTACAAATATTTAAATAATTTAATTTTAGTAGGTCTGCATTGACAACAAACTTAAATCAAAGAGGCATTGTGTCAGAACAGTGCACAAAATATATTTCCTTAATAATCATGCTTAACCTGCTGAGTCAAAAATACTAGTTTGGGAAAAAAAAAACCCTAGAACAAACAGGAAATTAAAAGATACTGTGTAATCACTTTATATAGATAACTGACCGTTATAATAGTAGCATTTTAAAATTGTTTAAATTTCACACAGTTTAGATATGAAACAACCATTTTTTAAATTATGTAAATTTTGGTTTTAAAAGACTGAATAAACATTTTAGAACTATAGTTGTGAAAACAAAAAATAAATATTGTATGTTCCTTAAAAATTGAAGGGTTCCTTAGACGATGAAAAATTAATATGCTATTCCTCTGGAAGTTTCTTTCACTTTCTAGTTTATAACCTGCATTTTTGTGTCTCAGTATTTCCAGTTGAAAAGGTTAGTCTGAGGTAGATTTTACAAAATGTCATCAGATGTAGACAGTGTAACAACTGATACATGTCATGGCAACATTTTGATAATTCATTTTATAGGGTATTTTTCATCTTTGTTTTGTTGTATATGAGTCATAATTATCTGTTATTTAAGAATGCAATAGTAAGAATTATAATACCCTTATCATTCCTGAAGGTTAATGTTATGAACATGTGAAAACATTCCTTTTTTTGCCTTGATATGCAGTACTACATAGCTATGTGTTCTCCCAAGTAAGAATAAAGATGCATAAAATTATGTGATAGAAAATATTACAACCTTAAGGTCATACATACAAGAACATTCCTACATGATGTAGAATAATAAATAGTATCCATTTGCTTTCAGACAGTAAAGCGTTTCTCTTTAGTGAGTCCTTAGCACTTAGTATTTAGAAAAACATGCATAAGATTTTGTGAAGCTCTGAACAAATTGAACAAATGAATGAACTCAAAATGAACAGACATCTTTCACAGGTACTTCTACTCTTGTTACATCAAATTCCTTGGGTGTCCTCAAGGACTGACCATCACACTTTCTGCTTAAAATCTTGCTAGAATCCTCCATTGTCAAATGCCATGCGTAGACAAGGAGCTAGTTAACAATTCTTTAGTGTATATCTTTCTCATTACCAAAAAAAGCTGTCAGTAAAGCTTACCTTTTGCTGATAAGTATTTGACTTCCTTGCCAGCATTGGGCAGCTTTGTCTTCTCTTTTCTACCTTTTTGTTATTTTCACATTCATTTTTTATGTTTCTGCCTTACTACTCTATGCTATATGGAAAAATTTAGATTGTTCTTTTTATGTGTGCAGTTTTTATCACCTGTATATGCAGAATGAAGCATTGATTCTGAGAGCTGCAGGCCCTGCTACTATTTCTGTTGACTTTAGCAAGATAAAAATCAGAGCTTTTTTTTTCCTTAAAGTATTTTTTATTTCAGAACTCTCTAAAACTATTGCTATAAAGTCAGAATAATAGTTGTGGTAGTACTGCCACACATTAAATTTGCACCTTGCTATGGAGTCCTTAAGTAGCTGTTTCACTCATTAGTTAAGTAAATTCTCAGTAATAATTCCCATCAATTGCAGGTGCTCTTTTAATGAGAAAAGTTCTGTAGCATTCCTGAATTATGTCTGTTTCTGCTAGAAGGTTCCTTAAAGCAGTGTCCTACATAGTCAGCTTTTGAGACTTCAGACTTGATAGTGGTTTTTCCTAATCCTTCCCCATTTTTCCAAATTTAAATTTGGCTTCAGATAGTCTTTTCTTTGTACTTACAGTTTCTTTTATTATTTTTTAAAAAATCTTAATCAGCAATGTTTCTTTTTCAATATAAATATTTATAGTTTCTTGCCTTCTGTTCTATAATTTTTATTTCAAAACTAGCAAACACAGAAAGTAGTACAGTATAAGATATATTTACTCAGTATTGAACACACTTCCTGTATTCTTTATGTGCATAGAGAGTACTTAGCAATAAGATTATAAAAGCTTTATGAGAAAGAGTTTAGATTAGTTGAACAATAACAAGCATGTTATTATGCTCATCCTCCAATGACTACTGATAATAATGTATTTGAACCATGTTGACTGCTTTTTAATGCTGTCTTTGACATCACAGTTTGAGTTACATCATTTCGAGCCAAGGAAAGCCCACAAAATATGGGTTGGTATAAATAGACCTCCTTCTTGGTCCTCTATTGCCCTTTCATCACATAGTCCAGAAGGGATTCACAGTGACAAAAATAATCTGCCAGAATATTTAAGGGAGGGAGTGAATGGGAAAAGGGTATTTAGCTGTGATGAATTCTGTAATATTTATAAACAAAGCTTGGAAATCATATTGTTTGCACTTAACAAGTAGTTTCTTTGATTGCCTGGAAAGCTTGAATATTTGTTTAAAGTAAACTGATTTTATGTCTTATTTTTGACATATTGTGAAAAATGTGGAGTTTACTAGGAAGATCTATTCCAAATCAGTTTCTTTTTGCAGGGAGGTGAGGATTTATATTATTAAATAACTGTTTTATTATCCATAAGTATTGAAGTTGGCTTGGCAAGATCATTCTCAGTTTGTTTAGTTAATTTTCAGGTTTAAGATGATTCCAGATTTTCTTAAAGCCCCATACAGATTTGTATGTACAAATCATGTTTTGAAAAAAAAATTATGTAGGCAACTAGAATATTTATTTTGGCATTTATTGGGAGAATCAGATTTAGGTTAATGTGGTTTAGGGTTTCTTAAAACATGGAGACATTAATTTGCCTCTGGGAAAATTTGGTGATAATCATACGATACATTGTGGCAGAGTAAGTTAAAACAGTCTTCCACAACGTTCTTGAAAACTAAAAAGGACAAATCAATGGATTATCTTCTAAAGGTAGAATGACTAAACTAAAATTTTGACTGTCTGTGAACAATTAACATTTTCAAGGGTCTCAATCTGTAAATCTCTCTTGTAATCTCAGCTAATTTTAAAGTGGTCATTCTTTGCATATTTTCCTTGCCTTTGGCCAAAACATCAAGCTGTAGCTTGGCCACCTGTGCTGTAATGATGAGTAACATGGAGTTAGGAACAACTAGCATAAATTTGAAACGTGGGTTTACTAGAGTAACACAGAACAAAATATTTGTTTTGAAAATAAAATATTTATGACATTGCGTTACTCTTTAAGTCTTAATTACAGCATTCTTCAATTACAGTGCATTGGATATGGTATTAAAATAACATTTCACATTATTTAATGGTGGGGGTTTTTTAAATACAGTTGTTGAGTGATACCAATATTTTATTTTTACAGATCACTGACCCGGGTGCCTGTGGACAAGAAAATGCGAAATGAAATAGAAGAAAATCAGAAGGTTTGGTTTTGTTTCTTCAAGTGAATAATTGAGTTACTATCATATTACTGCTTTTAGAGATTTTTATTAGCATAGCAATTTTCACATGGTTTCTGTCTCTATCCAAGATGGCCACGCAGGTCTGGCAGATGTGTCCACTGGGACATCCGTTCCCTTCTGCCTGACCTGTACTTTCCAGTCCAGGATGCCTCATCCTGAAACAAATAACATTGGGTGTCTGTGTGGTTGGTCAGCTGAATCACTCCTATGATTCCGTGACTGTATTAAATAGATTAATTATAGGAGGATCTAAGGCACCTATGACACTAAGTTTAAATTTCTTACGACACCCTACCTGAGGCTGCAGGCCTTTAGACAGCTGAAAGCTAAAATCTGTTTGGGAAGTAGGGAAACTTCCTGAACACTGCAGCTAGAGCACAATAAATTGGCATGTGCGTTCTTGAACTGCAGTACATCCATCTAGCAGCAGGAGAGATGTGATCTCATGCTGTGAGTAACTGGATGATTCCCTCTCAAGATAATGAAAGTTGAGTAGGAAATGCAATGGGAGGAAATAAAGGTATTAGAAGTTGAAAGGCATGTGATGATTTAGGTGTAATGAATTGATACCTAAATAAGAAACAGGCAAAGAACTGCTATAGATAAAAAATAAAAATAAAAACTCATTAAATGCAATTCACAACTTCCAATGCAATAACTTGCTGACAGTTTAGCAAGAAAATACTGTATGAGTATTTTCAACATTAAATTCTACTCTTGGATGCCTAAATACTCCTTCCATCAAAGTTGTTAGGGCAAATGGATGCTCTTCTGAACAATCAAATGCCTAGCATCAAAATTGTATAACGAGTCTCAGCTCTGATTCAGGTCAGTTCTTTTCCTACTGCAGTACTGAAAGGTTTGAAAAACTTTTAGACTCCTATTTCAATACCCAGCGGCTGATAATTTTTTCATTGTTCTTGCATTCATTTTAGTATTAGGATTTTTAAGACAGACATCAGCCATTTGCAGTCTCTCTGTATCTCTGTTTACATGAGTACCTGGGCTTATAGGAATGACCAGTAAGCTTTCAGTCATAGTAAGAGATCTCTTACCCAAAATGCTGATTTCAGTGCTTCAAGGCGAGGGCCTGTTCTAGCTGATCACACAAGTTCTGCATAAGAGCCCTGAAGGATGCTGGTAAGATTTCTTGAGACTGGAATCCTCCTTATATTTCTTGTTCACTCCCTGCGTGGCATTAAGGGGTTTTTTTCTGCGATTATAGCACTTCATGGCACAGCTCTGGTCTTAAAACTGGAATCCAAGTTGGATTTGCTAACTATGGAAAAATTTCAGGTATACCTAGGACTTTGGGTGCTTCTCTGCCTGGTGCAGAGGAGTCTCCTTACTGTGTGCCTGGCTGTTTAATTTTGTCCCCTCTGCCCATTTTGGTTGTATTTCAGAATCAAACTCTTTTGTGTAGACAAAAGGATCACAAATTCTGTCAGCTGCAAGGGCTCTTGGCATTGTCAGATATTTGTGAATTTTGGCTGCTTATAAGGGATGTGTAGAATTAGACCTTGGGAGGGCGTGTAATTCGGTGTGAAGCTGTGGTAGGATAAATGTAAATGTCAAACGTGAGCTGCTACTTCTAGTTTCTGTTTTACTGGTTGCATGAGGTTTAACAAAGATAAATATGGAGTCGGGCACTCAGGCCGGAATAATCCAAAGCAGCAGTTAGTTATAAAGAAGTCCTTCTGTACCAAGTTTTGGGACGTACAAAAAAACCCCATTTCTGTAATTTAGATGAGTATAAGATTGGGAATAAAGTGAGTTTTATAAATTAGAAAAGTAATTGAAATAAATTATCTCTTTCTTTTTTTCCTTATACAACCGTAGAAAACTTACTGCCATGCATTTATGCTCTTCATTTTTGAAAGGCCCACTGACATCCATTTTATAGGTGCCTACTAAAGTCTTCATGAAAGGTAATAAGTAACAATTAAAAAAAAAAAAGGCCTTTCTAGTTATTTCTTTGCATTAGTGGGATGCAGTCCCCCGCAAATCCACTATATTTTTCCCATTATATCTGAGTTTGAATATATGTATTTAAATACTTTATAACAAAGAAGTCATTATTACTCTTTTGTAAATCTACATACAAAAAAAGCACTGAAAGCACTACAAAGTTCAGGTTACACCATTAGAATGAATTAAATATACCAATTTCAAAAGCTGTTTTTTAAGGTCAAGGACAGGTTTTGGACTTTCATAAAAAAATTTTTCTGTGTTAGGCTCAGGCTTATCACAGCTGTATTTTTCCCTCATGGAGAGCCCTGCCTTTCATATTGTGATCTTAGGTGCCATTACATGTTTCCATTCTGCTTTGGGTTGTGAAAATGTTTATATATATTAAGGAATATGGTACCTTTTCAATGAACGATATGCAGATCTGTTGGATTACAAGGAGCTTCAAGTAGACTGTTGTCTCATTATGTGGGGTTGCACTTAGAATGCCACAAACCAGTTAGCTTTGAGCTTACTTAGTTACCTGTGTGAAAGTAACCACGCTACTTTAAAGGAATAATGTCACTCTTGGTGTTGTCCTGTTTTTTCTCTCATTTGTCCAGTGACAGGCTCATAAGTGCAGTAATATGCACAGCCTGAGCTGCTTGCTCTAAGTGTGCTTTTCTTCAAAGTGTGCTTTTTGTTCACACTTACTTTGTTCAGCACGTGGGAGCTAAATGGGAAAAAAATACCTTTCTCAGATTGCTTTTTTTCTGCCTATTTTTGGTGCTTTCCATTCCTCTGCGGGGAATTAAGACAGATCTGGAAATCTGACTGCTCCTCATGGGGTGAGTTGGAATAAACTACTGCTGTTGCTCCTGTTACTTATCTTGCTACAGCCACTGTAGATTGAACAGTGTGGTGCCTCACAGCGCTCTGAAATAAAATGATAAGGCATACCTTACTCCCTAAACACTTCTTTCCTCTTGTATTTGTTTATTGTGGATTTTTTTTCTTCTTTGCAAAGCAAGGATATGCTATCCCTTTCTGATTTATTTTTCCCCAAGGCCCTTTTGTTAGATGAGACTGTGTGTTTCTAGTCTGTCTTTCCTACCACCCCCTAACAATTGCGACTGTGCGGGGTTTTTTTTGGAATTGTGAACGATTTTAAGCTACTGAGAAGCTAGTTTCAAGTGGAGGTCTGAAGGACACATGTAGGGTCTCCCTTTGATCTGCACTTGGAAGTGAATGGATATGTAGCAGGAATATGCTGGGTGTAATTTTTCAAGAACTTATGAGCCGTATTTCTGTAGTTGTGAATTCTCCCTTTCTGTTGTCAGACACTAGGAGTATGTTCTTGTCTATACCTAGTACAGGTAGGGACACTCAAGGTTGTTTTGGGAGGATTATCAATTATTTTCATTTGTGTTTGTATTAAGCATTGAAAGCATGTTAAGTAGCACTCATAAAAGTATGCTGTCAGTATTTTTACCAACGACACTTGGCTAAAAGAAGAAACTACATGGCAGAGATTTGATGTATCTGTTGTGTAGAATTACTTACAGTTTTATGTGTTTATATATCTGTATGCATATGTTAGTGTTGTCATATACCTAAATAAGTTAGCAGTACTTTTTATTTTTAAGCATTTTCATGAAATACTTGGAATCCAACCTGGAGAAGCACGTTTATTTCTAAATGGCCTTCAGATTGACCTGGATTTTCATGATCCATTTAGGTAAGATGGTATATTCTATTTGAAAATTATAGAATTACGAATAATATGTGAGGAGTTTTGCTCATGGTGATAAAATAATCTCATCTGTTGCATTTTGGGGGCCAGGAAGTGCTGCAATAAAGGGAATACTGGTTTTCAGTGGTTTTACTTTGAATATGAACATTGTATAAGTAGTTAAAACCGGTATTTGCTCTTGGAATATGTTTTATAATTTGCTTCTAATTTTACAACTCCACATGTAAAATTAATTAGGAAATGGAAGGAATCCAATGTGTATGTATAAAAAGGTGGAAAAGGCACTTAAAATGTAAGTTAAATGCTTTCACATCCCTGTTTCTTAAAAATTACCAAAAAATTGCAGGCATTAAATTTAGATACGTAACACCTTGGGTTATTTTTGGCATGCTTATGAGTCTGTGTCTGGCCACCTTTTATAAGAAGTTCTGTTAATGCAGAACTAATCTACTTTTTGGTATAAGAAATCTTTTTCCAGTTTGTGTAATTATAGTATAATTATTTTTTAGGTGACTTGCCTCTTTTATGCAAGCACTCATAAACTGTAAACATTTTCCCTTGCATTCTTCTGTATGTTGTCAACAGCAGGGCAGACATGATTACTTCAAAATCGTCTTTGGTGACCTGCAAACTGTCAGTAAATTTACTTATGTTAAGGCTCAGGGGTTTTTTTTAATTTTCCTATGATTTTTCAGAGTCTACAATTTTTTATTTTCTATTTTTTAACTGAAAATGTCTTCTTTTCTCCTTGACGGAGATTCTTAAGCTTTCGTGGGTTTAGCATTTATACTTGCAATTTGTACTTAATTTTGTTCTTAGCCAGAGTTTCGAGATGGAGTCACTTGTATCTTTTTTGATAATGATGCAAATATTAATAGTGCTTTCTAATGATAGTGCTAGGTTTAATTTCAATATAATTTAGAAGAAACTTTTCAGAATAGAGATAGCTCAAAATGAAGAAAGATAGAAATAAAGGCATTTGGCAAATCTTGCATGCTGTGTTGTAGCAGGCGAGGACTTCAGGTTTGTTTCCATTCTCATATTGAATTTTGAGATTGCAACAAATGTTACAGAGTCCTGTTGGGTCTTCTGGTATAGAGTTTTCTTGAAGAGGAGTGGCTATGTGTTTCCTCCACACTGTTTTGAGGGTCTGCTGTGATGCAGATTTAGGGCTTGTCTGTGTCTCCATCACTTGCTGCCTGGTTTTCTACACACTTGCAAAGCTTCCTGTTATTTGTATGAAATGAAATGTTATAATGCTATTTTGAAATAATTTGAAGACGTACAAGTGTAGTGTTAATAATTGATTTTATTTTAAATATTTGACTGCAGAAGAATATACAAATGATTTTTAATACTAAAGATAATCTTTGTGTTAAGTCTTTGAAATATTTTTTCTTTTTATGTCATGACAAGAGTTCTGTGTAGACATTACGCATTTTTTCTTCCCGAAAAAGTATCTTAGAGACTCTTAAACTGGAAGGAAAAGTCATGCATGGCCTTCATGAACTTGGAATCAAAGAGGAGATCCTGAGCAAATTTATGAGGTTGCATATACATCCTACAGATGACAGTTATGCACTAGATATTCGGCACTCTTCGATAATAGTGAGTAATTAAACATGTATTTAAATGTTACATATTTGATGCTATGTATAAGACAGTCTATCTTTTTTGTAGTATAATTAAAATACTAGGCATAAAACTGGATATCAATAAGCAGTGTAAAATATTTAGGAAGGTGGTATTAGCAATGATTTGGTCTAGCCTATACCTTATTAAAATTTTAAGATGTAGGATATTTAAAAGAAAAGAGGGACATGTCTAAGAGTGGTTGCACACTCAAAGCTGTAGAATTTGACTTCACAGCAATTAGTCTAGCTACGTAATATCCTTGTATTATGCAAGACTGCTAAATGTACTTTAAAGATATGATAATTGAATTGTGAAGAATATAAATATTTTGTTTCTAATTGTGCAATGACTTTTGCTTTTTTTTTCTCCTTCTTTTTCAAAGTTTATGCAGTTTTCATTACAAAGGTTATATGCCAGTGAAAAAGGCAATAAAATACTAATTTTCTTCACTTGAAAAAAAACATATTTCACTCTTCTGTTTGCCAAGTATAGACAAGCTTGCACAGACAACAGTAGAAGAACAAATTGGCCATATATTAATTACTTAGTTATTTTGATATACATAAAATGCTGCTGTGGGTTATAGATAAATACTGTATTTGTTTTACAAGGTGGTTATGCTGTGTTACATACATATCTGTGTGATATGTTGTTATGACCTTTGTATTGTGAAAGTAGTTTGCACAGTTGGAAAAAATGCTTGTATTCACATCCTGATACAGAGTACAAAGGGTCTTTTTCCTTTTCCATCTATTACTAGTTTTATTATGTATTGCAAATAAAAAACCCAAACAGTTTGATTGAAAAGGAAAAAAAATATTAATTTTAGAAGCTATTGTCTGTTACTATTTCAACAAGATGATAAAACATTTTACTCTTTCCAGGCTTTCCACGTGTTTTAAAATAGCTTTATTTATAGATACATATTTTACTCAGTGGTTAATCCGTGGCTTTTTTGTTGTAGTGGGTTAATAATATAGAACAAGATCACAGCTATAGCACATGGCCTGCAAGCTATCAGGAACTGCTGAAGCCCACATTTCCTGGAGTTATACAACAGATTAGACGCAATCTATATAATTTGGTAAGTTTAGAGAACTTTATTTATTTTTTTGCATAGTTTGTGTATTAATATGTGGACAGACAATTTATTGAAAAACACACATGCTGTATTCATTGTTAACATAGGTTAGAATTTCATGTTTTCTATGTGAGTCTCCTAATAGTAGTGAAAATCTTTTTGTTTAGTGAGTCATATGTGATTATCGGTCTGATTTCCAGAAGTGGTGTTTCCGTCTTTTATCTGTTGACTGTAACAGATCTGGTTTTGGTGAAGCTTAATTACAATGAAATGTTCCCAGAATTATAAATAAAGTTAAATTTTACATTCTACAAAAAAGACCTTCTTGGTAACCTGGACTTTCTTTCTAATCAGGATGTAAATACATATGTCTCATTACATTTTTCTGTATATTTGACCATATAACAAAAGACAGTGGACATATCCAGGACTATGTCATCAAATTAAATTCTTCAAAATGTGTAGGAGTGAGGGGGCATAGGTGAACTTGACATGGAGATGATACAACTGTAGTTCATGAGCTCATTGATCATAACAGCTGAGTATTCTTTATAACAAGAAGAAACTATTTTTACAGCTGATCAGGACAGTTACCTTGTTAATGTCAAACTCAATTAATTGAGATAGTCTTTATTTTAGATCCTGCCATAAAAAGCAGTATTTTTAATTCCCATGTCTTTCTTGGTTTTCAGGCTTTGTAAGCAAGCTGTTACTCTCTGTTTATATTAGGCAACTGACTGTATTATAAAGTAGCCTCTTGATTTATTGAAATCCTTCATAGAGTCACCATGATGTTTGGTGAATTAGCACCACTGCTAAGATTCAGAGACAAAAGACAAAGATGGAAATTTTGCACCAGCAGGCCACCAACGTTTAGAGGAAAGAAGGAATTATTTTAGAAAATGCTGCCAGTTTCATGGAAGAGTCACTACTAGCTTAGGTTTCCTTTTCAAGCAATGAGATTTCTTTTATATGTCACTGAAGACGTATTTGGCCAGTTGGAGATGTGAAATAATGTAAGATCTTCTTCCACTGCCTTGATATATACTTCAGGAAATGAAAGGAATACATAGGATTAGCACTGAAGAATACAGGAAGCAAGTTATTCCAACCCTGTAAGGAAAAATATCTCGTGAAATTCTTCTGATTTATGGGATAACCTAATAGCACTCTTTAACCTTTCTGCCCAGGAATTGAAGTAAGTAAAGTTCTAAATGCAATATGGTTACAGTTTTGCAGAGGAATGCAAACTTTTATATCTTTTTGAATAAAACAGAAAATAAATCGTGAGCTACTCCCACATGGTGAATAAAGCACCACTGAGCTTATTTGTAATTTTTGATGAATGCTAGCATCCAGTGAGTATTTATCTGGGAAAACTGTGAAATATAATTTGCTTAAAAACAGCACAAAATTAATACTAATCTGCAGAATGGAGGGAAGCTCTGATGGTGCAGCTGTAGTTTCAGCTCCCTTGTACAACATGGTAATCCTTTGACCTACATGCACAAACTTTTTGACCTACATGCACTAACTTTTTTCCCAGATGGCATTTTCTGTGTTCACTGGAAAGAACAGTTTCTACTCACTGAATGAACAAATACTCAGTATTTCATTTTATCCTCCCCATATAATTCACAGTTTTCTGCCCCCTATACTATACAATACCAGACTTGGTCACAGTTTTCTTGGGAGTTTTTCTGTTCCTTTCCATGCTACATATAGGTAATTCACCGCTATCAATGAATTTTCTTCATAGTACACTACTGAGAGAAGGCAGTGATAACTGTCCTTGTTTTAGAGATGATGAACTGAGGTACAGAAAGATTTAAGTTATAAAGCACACTAATTATGAATGTCTTATAGCCTAATTTTTCCTCTGTACGTAACATTCTGTATCACTTAGTAAGTTAAGGAAACACTTATTGGTGATTTAAATTGAAATTTAAATTATAATGCTAATTGTATGAATCATAGAATGGTTTGGGTTGGAAACGACCTTCAAAGATCATCTAGTTCCAACTCCCCCTTCCATGGACAGGGATATCTTTCAATATATCAGGTTTCTCAAAGCCCCATCCAACCTGACCTTGAACATTTCCAATGATGGGGCATCTACAACTTCTCTGGGTAACCTGTTCCCCTATGACACCTGTGGTGTCTCACCACCCTCATTTCTTCATATCCAATAAAAATCTACCCTCTTTTAGTTTAAAACTGTTCCCCCTTGTCCTGTCACTACTGCATCAGTACTGCTGGTAAAAAGCCTCTCTCCATCTTTCTTATAAGCCCCTTTATGTATTGGAAGGCTGCAATAAGGTCTCCCTGGAGCCTTCTCTTCTCCAGGCTGAACAACCCCAACTCTCTCAGCCTGTCCTCATAGGAGAGGTGCTCCAGCCCTCTGATCATTTTTATGGCTCTCTCTGAACCTGCTCTAACAGATCCATGTCTTTCTTGTACTGAGGACCCCAGAGATGGACGCAGTATTCCAGGTGGAGTCTCATCAGAGCAGAGTAGAGGGGGAGAATCACCTCCCTTGACCTGCTGGTCACACTTCTTTTGATGCAGCCCAGGATACGGTTGGCTTTCTGGGCTGTAAGCGCACATTACCAACTCGTGCCCAGTTTTTCATCCACCAGTACCCCCAAGTTCTTCTCCTCAGGGCTGGTCTCAATCCCTTCATCCACCAGCCTGTATTGATACCGGGGGTTGCCCCGACCCAGGTGCAGGACTTGGCACTTGCTCTGTTGCACCTCATGAGGTTCGCATGGGCCCACTTCTCGAGCTTGTCCAGGTCCCTCTGAATGGCATCCTGTTCCTCAGGTGTGTCCACCACACCACTCAGCTTGGTGTCATCTGCAAATTTGCTGAGAGTGCACTCAGTCCCACTGTCTGTGTCACTGAATCTATCAAACAGTACTGGTTCCAATACAGACCCCTGAGGGACGCCACTCGTCACCAATCTCCGTCTGGACATTGAGCCATTGACCACTACTCTCTGGATGTGACAATCCAGCCAATACTTCAACCACTGAATAGTCCATCCATCAAATCCGTTATCTCTGCAATTCAGAGAAGAAGGATGTTGTGGGGGACTGTTTCACAAGCCTTACAGAAGTCCAGACAGATGACATCAGTAGCTCTTCTTTTGTCCACTTCTGTAGTCACTCCAAGTGGCATGAAATTCAGTATATAAAAAGACTACCAAAATACAAGCAATATGTAATAAAAACTGTATGTTTATAATGAAGCATAAGATGTGTGTAATATGAAGTAGATTGTATTAGGTATTCAAAGTTAAATATTGGCATAGATGTATATAAGAGCTATATTATAGAAATCTACAACATATCATTTAACAATAATCTGAGGGGAAGGGAGTGTTCCAAATTTTTTAAATTATTCTGCTGCATTTCAGCTAATGTAGCAAAATTATGATAAATTCTAAGGGGAGTTGCAGTGCAAAGCTGAATAAATAAGGTACCAATGTCATAATTAAATCTGCATAAGGATAATCTATCTATGCAGACAGATCCCAGTTTTAGATTCTGTGCATGCCTGAAAGATCTGATTTTACACTTCAAGCTACAATAAGTGAAAGAGTGAATACAAAGATATGTGTCACAGGAAGGAAAAATTCTTTCCCAATGCTCCATTTTTTAATTAAAGTTTCAAGTCAGTATATTCTGTTTGTTTATTTTAGTTTGGTTTTCACAACAGAAGAGGGTTAGTTGAAAGAAATAATAGAAAAATCAGCATTAGATCCTTTTTAATTAAATATTAAGTTCATTAATAAAACCAAAGTATTGGCACAGAGTGTTTCAAAGGAGAGTAGTGATATCACTCGGTTTGAAGTTCAATAAATGGTTAAATCCTGTTTTCAGTATTTGGTCCAAATCCATTAATTCTGAAATTATTTTCATTTATACTCTTAATGTTTTCTTACAATGAATGCTCTAGGAAATTAAAAGCCATTGGAGCACACAGGTCCTTTGGAAATTTCTGTTCTTGTCTTAGATTTTATGTCTGAAAAAAAAATAGAAACAGACATCGAGAATAAATATTGGCTGTATGATATATTTTCTCTTCTTAGGTACTTTTTGTTGATCCTGTCCAAGAAGATACAGGTGATTATATGAAACTGGCAGAATTATTCTATCATCATAATGTACCACTTAGGTAAGGAAAACTGAACGTCTTGAAGAAAAGTCTTAAAAGAAGGTTGCTTTCCTTTTTTCTTGTTCATCTTCTATTCTGCTTGGCAGAGATGTGAATTCAAATGAAGTCCAATGCAACAACATTCTAATAAGACACTTTAGTTAGCCACTTGTGTTAAGCTTACTTGGGTATTAAATACTCAAGCAAATGGGTAGCAAGGGATAACATACTTGAGTGTGCAGAAAATGAACTGCAAATGTCTGATAAAAAAATTATCTTGTCAAATAGTCCCAGTGGATGCCCATGTGAAGTTGCATTCTAAGCAAAATATTTTGTAAAAGTAAAACATTATTTGAGGGCATTTTTTAATTTAGGTCTTTCAACTCAGGTTGTTTTACCTGATTTTGTTTTTAAATAAATACTTGAAGACCAAAGCAAGATTATCCTCACCACGTTTTGAATTTCTAAAAATTCATTCTGTGAGTCTGAACTAGGCATCATTTGAGAGAAAGAGATGCTTCTGAGGAAGAATCTGTTGATCTGAGATGCCTACTTTAAGAAAAAATTAGTTGCACTCAGAAGTGCCTCTTTATTTCCACAGCTTACAAAAGAAGAGAAGGGTGTCCAAACTAGATCCAAGGTTCAGCAAGATGAATTCCATGTGAAATATTTAAAATCTTCCTGTGAAATGGCTTTTTGTTTCCTCAATAAATTACAGGTTTTTCATTTTCCTTTAAAATTTTACTAGTTCTGATCATTGTTTTTTCTTTGTTTTTTATCATTCAATGACAAAAAAGGTAATGGAGGGCAGATATTCCTTATCTGTGCATTTTATCACTGTTGTCACTACCTGGGAGACAATACTGCTTCAGTCCTTGAGCAGAACATAGCCTAGATTTGCCTTTTCTGATACATAACAGTGTAAGAGCAGCCAAACTGGGTCAGACTAAAGTTCCATTTAGGTCAGTCTGTCTGCAGCAGGCCACAAGTTGCTGCCTAGGTAAAATAAAAAGGACAGGGCAACCAGGTACTTTTCCTGAGTAGTTTCCTGGCCTTCGCACATTTGAAGATCAAAGAATTCCAGACCTGGATGTAGTTTCTAAATATTTAGCAACCCTCAATGAATTTCTCTTCCATAAACTTTTCTGTTTTCCCCTTGAATTCATGTAAAGTTTTACCACCCACAGTATCCTTTTCCAGGTGTTTTCACAGTTGAACTACATGGTGTATGAAGAACTGCTTTGATTGTTTTGAGCCAGACTTTCAATAGCTTCATTTACTGTCTCTCTAGCTCTTAAAATTGTGAGACTAAGCAGTCTCCTGCTCTCTAGATGCCAGTCATGATTTTATAAAGCTCTACCATATTCTACC